ATTTTCCAAGTTATTCAAATCTTCGTCAGTTTTAATTGGAAACAGCTTTATTATTTCGGCGTTTCCTGTTTGAAAAAAAAAACAAGCTGTTGGGTATACGCATTTATCGTGGCCAGCTCATCCATAATCATTTCGTTTTGCCTGTTTACCGTATTTTCACAATTATATCCATTCTTAATTGTAAATCTGCAAGATATAGGGAAGTTAAAGTTAGTAAATTTAAAATAAAAAATACGAATAATATTACCATTTATTTGCGCGTCCTTGGAATCATTTGTGAGAGTGTTTCGCAATTGTGTGTGACATCTTGGTTTTATGAAATTATTAAATTATAAATAAGTTTTGTGGAAGCCGTGTAAAAGAGGAATAAATAAATGCTCATTTTCTGAAGGAAAGTACATTATTTTGCACATTACTTCATCTATCTTAAAATCTCTCTTATCAGCGTTTTTCTCAAAAATATTTCCAGTGCATATCCCTAATATATTCATAGATTGGACGGGGTGCCCAAAGAAATTTTTTAAGTTTGTGAGTACCGTCCCAATAAAAAAAATTTCTCCGCTTTCGACAAATCCTGTAATTCATACTATTTTTTTAAACCAGTTGGGACAACCTTAATCTTAAGATCTGAGATGGAATATTTGTTACATATCTGCTGCAGAATCTTAGAAGGCTTTCGGACATTTTTTTCAATTCCTGCATAAAATTTTCGAAACTGTAAGCAGTAAAATTCGGAAGAGCGTCCATATCTTCTACACACTTTCGCAAATATAGCAGGTTATGTACATTGAATGTTACGCAGGAGTCGTCAAATAAATTGGAAACTTTTGTACGAAAAGCTTAAGCATTTCCTCCGCCTTATTTAAATTAAAGTTGGAATTTACTGATGAAGAAAGCATCCTATAAGATACTTGTAGTAGTAAATATTCATTATACATTTCCTCGCCTACAATACCTTTTAAAACGACTAAGCCCGTATAAAGGGCAAATTACCGGAACTCCGTAGCTTTCCATCTACAAATTTTATTTAGCGATCGCGGTTTCCTTTGAAATTCCCTGGGGATGAAGGGAGCCAGTGAAATCAACTTGGTTGACATCAAATTTTCGTCGTTAGTCACAATTTTTTGAACGGTTTTTCTATTTTTAAGAAGCGGGGAATTGAGTAATCATATCAATTCCCATTAACTGTAATTCATTATGCCTGTTTTGATGAAAACCTTTATGGAATTGCATTTGCTTTCTGTTACGAAAATCTTCATACGTTCTTGGTTCAGCTGATGCTGTACTGAAAGTTGTAACGTTATTAATCCTTTGGCCCCTTTGGTAGCATTTCACGCATCCTATTAAGGCGGTATGGCCTACCGTGCTACACATGCAAGAGCGAGTGGTGCATCACAGATGAGCGCTCGTAAATAAATTTGGAAACTTCGACTTCAACTCCGCTTTCTTTGAGGTTTTTTTATTTCCGAAACTAAATTATGTCGATATGAGTCTATATTGTAAGGCTTTGTTCCGCTGAGGTAGACACCAATTAAAAAAACATCAATATTGATGTTCACAAATCTTCCCATAATTGGCCACAAACTTTGGGAAAGTTATTGAATTTTCTTCTGGCAGAAACTCATGTGGAATTTTTTCTAGTTGCTTCAAAAAACCTATATGGCAATAACTTCTCGGTGACACTGTCCAAAAAAATCACACTTTCTGAGCAATTTTTTTTAAATGTTTTTATATAGGTAGGGACCGCCAAACCCTCAGAGCTTAAAATTTTAAGCAATGTATTTGCACTTGCGCGTGTCAGATTGTACTGACTGCACCATTTGGAACCAAGGTACATTGAACAGGTAGTATCAGTAGAGCAGCTGATTTGATTTATTTTCAAATTATTTGGTCTCGAAAATGTCAAATATTTTTAATTTTTTCTCACAAAAAGCAGCACAACCGCTGATTACTGGCCCTTGTAAAGGATGGATCAATGCTTCGAGAAGCAAACAAATTTACTAGGAAAGAAAGTTGCATCAATTTTTATTTTTTTCAATTTAAATTTTTTATTTTTTATTTAGTATTTTCTCTGGCTTTATTTTACTGAAGCATTCCAATTACAGGCATACATTTGCATAAAATGGAACGTATTTTAAACGAATTGCTCTCTATTTTTGCATACAGTGTAGTTCTGCGTTGAATTCCCTTCTGCAGTATACGCATAAAATCGAACGGTATTTTTGACAATAACTGATAAGCGAATTATTGTAAATTAAAGGTAAATTGTTACTGTTTTTTTAGCCTT